CCCCCGCCACTCCACCCCCCACCTGCATTCACCATGGGGTAGGTGGGACTGTTGTCCTTCTCCCTAAAAAAAAAAAAACCTCTCTCGCCACCTTTCTCTGTCCCATTGAATATCGAAGACCCCCCTCCTTTGAGAGATGCCCCTTTGAGGCTTGATTTAAAGACAACTTCCACTGCAGTTAGCGGCCCTTCACCCCTCCAGCCTGCAAGCTCTGTGTGAAGTGTGGAGATGAGGGAGAGAAAGGGGTGTGTAGGGTGGTGGGGGTTCATGATGTAGGAAACTGTACTCACCATGGATGAGGGTTGCAGTCGTTTATATCTGTTGAAGAGAACCACAAAGAGACACTTAGAGATAAGTTGTTACAGCGACATATTTGTGTAATTTTTCCATTGCCTTTATAACATTTTTGGATATTATGCAAAGATAAAATATCTACTATCAAGCATGTTTACTGCGTTTCAATTTGCAGTATTAGATAATTAAGTTGCACATAATATTTAGCCACATCAACCAGCTCTGACTGGGGGATCCCAAGGCGCTCCCTGGTTGATGTGGCCAGGGAAAAGAAAGTTTGGGGCTCTCTGCTGGAACTGCTACCCCCGCGACCCGACCACGGATAAGCGGGAGAAGATGGATGGATAATATTTAGCATGTTGCGCAAATAAAAATAACTGGGCATCTAGGCCTTAAAAAGGCATCATAAGTACATTTATAGCTGTAAGTAATGACAACTTTAATGTCAGTTTCCTGCAAATCCACATAGAGAAACTCACTCTGGCCGCAGGTGGGGCCTTCCCAGCCCTCTTTGCAGATGCAGGTGAAAGTGTCTCCTCCTCCCACACAGGTCCCACTGTTGGAGCAAGGACTGGAGGCGCATGTGCTGTTCTTGGCTGTGGGAAGAGAGGAGGCATTAGTCAAGGATCACATATCCAAAATACAGAAATAGTATAAACGGTATGCTTGAACTTAAACTCAAATTAGGGCATTTCAAATCTGTCTGAATCCATAATATTGCAAAGAAACAATCCTGTCATTAAAATGAGGCTTGTAAGGAGCAGCTGATAAACGGTATACACATTACCTGGAGGAGATGTATGTAGTGGTGCATGTGTGAAACGGGCTTCACATTGAGTGCTTGACATCAACTCATTCTGTATATGGTACAGTGACTACCAGTGGACAGCACTCAACAACGAAATAAAAAGCTAAACTGTTACTGTGTTGTGTCCTTGAATATACTATCTGTACTAGTAGTTTAAGCAATCTATTAATATCTGATTTGAATAGGTTATGTAATAGCAGCAGTCCTCAGGCCTCACCTGTGTTGCAGGTGTTTCCTCCCCATCCAGGAGGGCAGGCACAGCGGAAAGCGTCTACGTGGTCGTAGCAGGTTCCTCCGTTACTGCAGGTGGTCGCGTCACACTGGCTCTCACCTGGTCAGGAACACAGAGAAACACTGAGGTCAGACACTTTGTATAACTATTCATAACATCAGTAAGAAAAGACACTTCTTATGCTTGTGTTGAGATACACTTATTACATTTAGTCAAGTACTGGCCTTAAGTACAACTTTGAAGAGCTGGTGCTTAAGCTGAGCATTACACATTCCATGCTACCCCACTACAATTCAGAAGAAAATAAATTCAGAAAGTCTACTACATTTACGTGTAACTTTACTCAATTTCACGATTCGTATATATATATGGGGGCGTGTGGTGCAGTGGGTTGTGCGTAGGTGTTTGGATCAGGGGGTCCCAGGTTCAAACCCCACTGCAGTCAGCATGTCGTTGTGTACCTGAGACACTTCACCCCAAATTGCTCCTGTGGGGATTGCCCACAGTATTGAGTATGTAAGTAGCTTTGGATAAAAGCGTCTAACAAGTGACATGTAATGTAATATTCAGATTAGTGATAAAAGAATAGAATAACAAATAATAAAACCCGACAGTATATGTAGTAAAAATATTTATCTCCTCCATTAACAACATTTTAATGCATCAAAAAGTCTAATCTATATTATTCTGAAAAGGGCTTTTGCGCAGTACTAAGGACTTTTAATGCAGGACTTTTACTTGAGTTACATCAGTTATTCCTACGCTGGGGTAATAATACTTTCAGTTAAACAAATATCTGAGTGCTCTGTCCACCTCTGTTCTTGAGATCAAATGTACTCATAACATACAAAGATGTGTAAGCATGGTGGCGTCTGTGCCTCAAAAGCCTACAGAACATAAACACACACATTAACACAGACTCGACATAACTCACGGGAATGGCAGGTCTTGCCCTTCCAGTTGTCGGCACACTCGCAGTAGAAGTCGTTCACCAGATCCACGCAGCGCCCGCCGTTCTTACACGGGTTGTGTCTGCACTCGTTGACATCTGGAGGAAGGAGGAAGGAATACATGAGAATAAAAAAGCAACACATGCAGCGAATAAACGGCCAGAACGCCGACACCTCCTCATCTCCACCGCTCCCATGCTTTCTTTTGTGTTGTCATAAGTTAGTCTCTGCGTTTCTGCGCTGGGCTAATGCTAATGCTAATAATGCTAATGCCAGGATAATAAAATGGCGGCTTCACAAACGTTTCAAAGGGCTTTACAAAATCACAAGTTCAAAATGAACAACAAGAAATTCCCCTCAGATTATTTGTTAAGAACTTTACGGGTACAAGCAGCAACATATAACACGTTATCAGGTTAATAGACACAAGGAGGTAACATGTATGATAATACAAATAAAACAAATAACTGTCTCTCTGACAGATAAGACAAGACAACTGAATCGATGCAACAATATATAACCCCATAAAACAAAATGAACATATAGGTACAAGAGAAATACAAAGATAATAGTAATAATAATAATAATAGTACGGTAATAAAAATACCATTATTCTAATAAAGGTTAAACGATTAAAAAATAAAAAAAGACCAACGTTAAAATAAATATTTCTATTGAAGCATTTTAGATTAATAAAATAAGATAACATCCTTTAAGACCTATTAAATAATTAAAAATATATATAAAGGTAGGTAAATAATAAAGACTAAAAGAACATTTAAAATGGGGGGTTGCTAATAAAAAGCTACTCTAAAAAACTTGTCTTAAGTTTGGTAAAGGTCTCATCATCACCAGCTGGTCTTCCATTTAGTGCAAATGGATACACAGAAGCTCTTCTGTAAACTATCTAAAATGCTGCGTGGTTGAAGGTAGCTGCAGTGAGTTATGTTGCAGGCGATGAACTCACTGAGGTCGCAGAGTCGACCTTCCCAACCATCGGGACAGACGCACTGAAACGAGTTCACTCCATCAATGCAGGTCCCTCCGTTCCCACAGGGGTTGCTGGTGCAGTCGTTGATATCTAAAAAAAGTCAAGGGGAAGGTTAGATGGATTCATCACTTTTGGAAGAAGTAAACATTTAGTATTCAGACTAGATTACTAGTAACACTTTCAAGTATTTATAAGTGGTTCATAAACACTTCATAAATGTTTATTAAAGCTTATGCATCATGCCGTTTTGATTGGTTCACACTAGCTGTAAATCCTTATGGTATGGATAAAGCTTTGATATATTGGGTTCACATTTAAAAATGATTTTATACAGGTTTCAACACTTTAAAAAATACTTATTTCGGCTTATACCATTATTTAACATACATTTGAGTGTTTGATATATTTTGTTAGAAACTACCTATTGTTACATTTTCAATGATGAAGTTAAAAACATGTTACCATCTTCATTTTTCAAATTTAAGTTGACACATTTTGTTTGTTAACCCTTATGTTGTGTTCGGGTCTCCCGTGACCCGTTTCAAGTTACAATTATATAATAACTGTGCTCTATTTTTTTTTAAATCGGAACAAGGCTTCATGATATCCTCCACAACAGCTATATAAAAACTACAAAACTAATTTTGACAATTTTAGCCAAGTCTGAAGGTCTCTAAAAAGAAAAGTGTATAATTTGGTGTTCGGTTCAGCAGAATTGTTTCGGGTGACTCAGGGTCAAATTTGTCCCAATCAAGATTCATCTT